AGTTGCAACCAGAGTCACGGAACGGATTAAATTCGTAACTCGAGGTTCCACTGTATATGGTGTGAGTAATAGAAAGCCAGGTTATGAGCAAATATAGTATAAAGTTATAAATAAAGTGACAATTTCTAAAGGAATTATTTAAAAATATTACAATATTAAGCTATATGTATAGATACATGATTTACTTTCCATTATTTTATGTTTTAACATAAAGACTATAGATAGCATATGTGATTATATGTATTTTATGTTTAGTCATGCTACACAAATGTCAGATATTATTTTTTTATTCCAGATTACCCTTTGAAAAAGCAGATGATGAAGACTTAATTGGGATACAAACTAACATTGAAGAAGTTCTATTAAAATTACAGCTGCTATCTGATTTATCCAACCTGGAGGTAACATTCCAGGACAGGGAGGACAAATACTTATTTGGGCCTATTTTTAAGATGAGAAAATAATATATATAAACTGAATTAGTTTGTGTACATTTGCAAGCATAAGATAACTTCAGTTTTGGTGTTTTAAAGCATGTGGACAGTTTTACATTTAAAATTGTGATTTGGGGGAGTACAGTTGGGTCTTTAGGGAGCTCAAAATGGTTTTATTTACAACATGGAACATAGAATTGTGAAGCAATTCTGATACATTTCTTTCTTTATATGATGTAATCAAGGCAATTTACAATGAGTCCAAATAAGTAAAACATGCAAAACAACAAAATAATTATGTAGATAATATTTTAAAAAACCTATTATAATGAAGTGCAGTCTTTTATGTAAGATGTATCTGAAAAGAAGCAATAGATTTTTTTATGCAATGTAAATATGCATTATATTTGTGATTTGTATTTCCAAATTTCTTAGAAAGTGCATTCTTGCATTACATTTTCTAACTGCAGATGAGTTCAGGCTATTTGAACTGTTTTACTTGCTATTTTTTCCTATCTAGATTAATTCAGATCTGCCATCTTCAGCTTCATTGACTGAAAGATTGCTAAAACAGAATGCTGAACTGACTGGGTTTGTCAGTAGATTGAGTGAGGAAAAGAACAATTTGAGGAATGCAGTCATGAAACTGGAGGAGGAACTGAGAAGATATCAACACATAGGATCTTGTGGAGACTCGGTATGTTTTTTCTTCCTTTGAAGTTACATAGGCTTTTACTCCATCTTAAGTACTTGTTTGTTTGGACAAACTGTCAAATAACTTGTAAGCCCACTATAAAGTTAAATAGGAAATGTTTTGTTTAACCTACAGCTTTTAAAAAATGAAAATAGACTAATGGGGGATTTCCTTTTGGTGGAAATAATTTAAAGGGATTTCATTACAGGGATTTCCTCTTCATTTCTGCAGTGTAATTATCAGTCTTCCCTTTAATGTTATTTGTATTTTAGAAGATCTTATGCATATAAAAAACAACTTATTTTTAATTGGATATGTAGTTCAGTACTTAGACTGAAATCCTATGCACACTCAATAGTGAGGAAACTGCAGTTACTACTGCAAATGTTCACCTTTGCATGTAGTTCCATACACTTGGGCTACCTTTTACAGGTAATCAACATTTTCAGTAGTAGCGACTTTACTCCACAAAAGTATAATGGGTAAGTGAGCACATCCTATCACAAGGCTTGCCTTGGTCACATTCACACATTATGTATAAGAGGCAAATATGTTTTAAGTTGCATTGTGTTCAGCATTAAGCTTTTTCCACAGGCCTTAATGATAATGGTTGTTAACACTGCCCGGAGTCACTTGGATTGAGATGGGCAGCTATAGAAATTGCACAACTAAATAAAACCTGTTTGCATATTTACTCAACCAGTGATAAGTGAGGCAGAGAGCGCCACCAAGATCTTCCTCTGATAGTCTTCTTGGCTATTGTAAATAGTTTGGCTGTGTACACCTCGCATTTGTTCTTTTCATTTCTTAGTAATAGGGAATAGGTTATAGTCACTGCTAACTAACTTGGGTGCTTCCTCATGTTACTTCTGAAATTTCACAAGACTTTTAAACAGTCCCTACGTAATGGAAGAAATGTTGATACACTCATTGCTGCTGAAAAAGAAGTCTGGAATAAAGAGAAATTAAGTCTGCAACAGTCCCTGAAGCAGGCTGAGGCAGAACTGGCCAAACTGAGAGCAGAATTAAGAAATGAGGCTTTCCTGAGAGAACTGGGATCAGATTCTGAAAATACTGCTTTAAAGGTGAAGAGCTTTTTCTTGACTACTTTAAGAATATTTTTTTCTTTCATTAAACATTGCACTGATTTGCTTTTTATGGTAATCTGAAATCGAATAATCTAAGCCTGAAATGTGGCACCCTTATTTGTCTCAATTTAGCTGCAAACATTCCATATCTTTCCTTTTTCTTTTGACTAACCAGGGGTGACAACCCCATGGCCATATATAGGTCCCAGTATTTTCTAGAGGACCTACAAGATTGTGCAGCAAATCTTAGTTTGGGATATTGAAGTGGTTTTTAAAAATGGGAAGCATTCCCATTTCCACACCTTCCAAAATCTAATAAAAAATGGGCTGAAACTTTATCCTGCCCCTTGTGGCGATATCACTGCATCACTAGAAGGTATTGTGTGGCCCACTAGCAGTAGAGAGACTTGAATGAAATCCCTTGCCCAAATATATGCCTGGAATAAAGTGAAGGAGAAATCGACTTCTTGCATCTAGCTGATTTGCAGAAGAAGGAAGTATTTTCCCAGTTAAGATTGGAAACTACACATATCCATGCTGTATTACTAAAACTAGGAACTGCATAAGAATGGTAATTGAAGACAATTTATTACATAAATTATCATCAGTCTCAGTTTACTTCACCAGATGATGAAGTAGACAAAATGCCATAAAATAACAACTTCATTAGTCTTTACAAGGCCACAAGATTCTTAGTTGCAGCAAAGACTGTGAAAGAACTATTCGTCTAGAAACCAAAAAGCATGATTGCATGTAACACTTCAAAATGTGTTATTTCCCACTGTATTATTTAATTTCCAATCTAGAGAGTTTATGGAAGATACCTGAGAGCAGAGAGCTTTCGGAAGGCTCTCATTTATCAGAAGAAATATTTGCTGCTCTTACTGGGTGGGTTTCAAGAGTGTGAAGAAGCCACTTTAACTCTTATTACAAGAATGGGCGGGCAGCCTTCCTACACTCATCTGGAGGTCATCACACACCATTCAAAAAGTTTTACACGATTTCGCTCAGCTGTTAGAGTATTAATTGCAATTTCAAGGTAAGACACAAAAGATTCAATTTGTTTTTTAAAAAATCCTTTTTGTATAAAATGTATCAAATTGAATATGTATATAAAGTGGTAAAATGGTGAAAACAAATATTTCTTCATTTAATGCTAAGCCCTATAGCTAGGAAACTATTCTCCAAAATACATAGAGAAGACTTAGAAAGCAAGTTAGGAGTTAGTAAGTTAACAAATGGTTTATATCTAGCAATGATTTCTCACAATGTATGGACTTACAAAACAATGTTTTACTTATTTGGATTGATTCGGTTCTCCATATCAAATGTCCTAAATATTACATTATATTTTCGCTTTATTTTAAATGCAGAATGAAGTTCCTAGTTCGAAGGTGGCAACGAGTTACTGGTTATAATTTAATTGGCATCAATAGAGATGGTTATAGCCAGAACACAGGTAAATTAATATTGATGGATGCTGTTTTAAAGTCAGGCATTACACTATAGAGAACTATGGACCTACCTACTACCTTTCTTCCTTCCGCATCCAGAAATTTTGTCATGCAGTGAAAAGTATGTGTGCAATATATAGAATGCAATAATATATATATATTTTTAAGTTATTGTCTTCATCTGGTGTGTCTCATCACATAAATGAATTCTATTATTATTGACTGTGGTACCAATTATACTATAACCAACTTTTGGAGAGAAGAGGAGAAAACGACACTCTTGTTTTGAAACAAGCATTTTTTATCTCTTCTGTGAAAAGAGATCAAAGAAGCTCAGTACATTTAGGCTTGAGGGGAGATAAAATAGCAGTGTCACAAAGAAGATGGTCAAGACCTGTTAGCTTTCATTCCAGAGTCAAGGATACAGAATAATGGATTAAAATTATTACAAGAATCAGATTCAGATTTAATGTTAAAAAAAATAATGTGTAGCAATAAGAGCAGTTTGATAGTGGTACCAGTTCTCCAGAGAGGGGACAGGCAACCATCTATCTGGGATACTTTAATTTAGATTGTTGCGCTGAACCTGATGTTGGCCTTTGATGGCTTAAATGACCCCTTATATTTCAATGATTATAAGTATTTAAGGTGTGGTCTTGTCCCAGAGTATGAACTTTGGTCAATTTATTAATTGCATTAATTGCATTGTGCAGAAAAACAGAAACAAAGCCCTGCAACAATTTTTTTAAAAACTTTGGTGAAATGACTTAAGGGAGAATAACAGGTGAGGCAGTGAATTTGTGCTAGCCATGCTATTAGTTTTTTTAGAGCAGATCTAGACCTGAACTCAGCAACAGACATTATATCTTATATATTGCATGTGTTTTATGTAGAGGAATGCCTACTGCTAGTCACTAACCACTAGGAAGGCAACAGTTGATAGCCTTCCTTCCTGTTTAAATAATATGGATGTTTATGAATTTATATTGCTTCTCTAAGGTAGTATATAAGAACATGACATCTGTTGCAAAGTTCAGTTTCAGATCTGTTCTGAACAAGTGAGTTGCATGACTAGTGAAACATCACCATATATTCATTGTCTCATATGGTATTACCCAGAAGTCTTTTCACCAAGAAATAGCAACCATTTAAGATTTTTAATTTTAATTGACTTTTATTGATAGTGTTTATTGTTCTTTATTGTATGATTGTACACATGATTGCTATCTGTTGCTAACTTGATTTAGAAGTTGGCTATGTTGCTTATGTTTATTCTTTGCCAAGGTGCTAAGGAGAGTTCAAAACACATATTTGGCTAACAGTAGTAATCATTGGAGGCATGTTTTAATAAAATCTTGCACTCTCATAATTCTTGTATCTATGCCAAAAACGTCTTTCTCTAAAAATTGAGAAGCTGTCAGAATGTCCGTAGGCTCTGAATCAAAGCCAAAGAAAAGCCTAGATATTGCACTTTGATTCTGCTTGGAAGAGCCCTGCTTTCAGTTCCTGGTTAATAAAAAAAATACATATTTTTAGTGGTGTACTTACACTTACCATGGTTCCATCATACATGAAGGCAGTGTAGTTCATGAATCAGTCTGCCAAATATTAATGAAAGCTGCCTATATTCTAAAATAAGCTAATTTTTGTTATTTGTGTAGGTAACGAATTACGGTCTGATTCATTTCCTGGCAGTCTGGAACTATGTGGAGAACCCAGAGCTGCTGCTTATAGATCCAGATCAGAGCTAGAATCCCTCAGATCTCCTTTTTCTTACCAACATAGGTAAATGTTGATGTATGTTCATTTTCTGCATTTCAAAGACCTGGGTTGCTAGAGCACACACACGCCTTCTGAATATCAAATGCTGTTGGCGAGAGAGATTATTACCATTTATTGTTTGATTATGATTATTTTTTTATTAGCTCTCTAGAAGCACATGCTTGGCTACTCTGGAAATTGAATCCTGGAAATACTTTGATGTGAACCTTTGCAATTCAGCATACTATCCAATGCTAGGTTTTATCGGTTTGCAAAATAATTCTTACAGCTTGCACCTGGAAAATATGTTTTTGCCCATGTATTAATTTTGGATTATGAAACTGCTTTGTTCCATTATGTGCTATATACATCTCAGGCCTGTGCTGGATTAGGCTAGATATCCTACTATCTCACTAATCTGATTTATAGTGGGAGGATTCCTGCATGCTAAAAAGTTCTCCAACATAATCTTGTTTTGTATCACTAAAAGTAATTGCTGAAGATGGGGAAACTCTCCATAGCAATATCTGACACAGTAAAAGGAGCTGAAACCAAGGAAATAAACCAGCACAGCTCCTTGCTTTGGGTATGTAGGGAAGCACTTTCAGCAGATGTACTGGTTTCTTGGAATATTTCTAATAGTGATCATTCAGTGAAAAACTCTAAAACAATACTGTCTTGATAAAAATATATTGCCCAGTGACTGGTACTATACCATGGGAATGTTATTATAAGACTATGCTAGTATATTTTCAGGGCTGAAAGCTACTGTATTGATACAATTGGCTACTCAACAAAAGGATTGAAAAACTTCAAAATAATCCATATATCAAATGCAATTGAAATAATCGCAGAATATTTTTTAATGCACCCTAGCCTCCATTTCCCATGCTGAATCTTTAATTGTGAACTTTTCTTCAAGATGTATATCAGTGATGCCATGTAAGGGTTTGTTTTAAAGTCTCTGAACAGGAAAAATATCTGGTAAGTTTAAATTGATAGGCTGTGCTACTTCAGGGCAATACAGTATACAGTATACAGTGGTACCTCGGTTCACGAACTTAATTCGTTCCGCGACTCTGGTCGTGAC